TAAAAAAATTAATTCTCAAGTTACCACGTCGAGGGAAATAAATTTGGATAGAATTTGTGAATTTTAACAAGGTTACAAAAATAAGTACAGAAACAAATTTTAGGTTGTGTAGCTTGCAATGGTCTAAAATTAAAATTGTACTGTTGCGGAATATTATTTGATCTGACAGTGAACTTGTTAAAAGATACAATTACAAAACCAGTTTTCCTTTATCCAGTTGTGAGTATTTTTTGTACAAAGACATTTCTTAATCATTACCAATCTTAGATAACAATACAAATTTGTAAAAATCCATTTCAATTTTTCGTCAAACGTAACTCGTACACGATGAAGAAAAAAAATAGTCCATAGACAATAATAAAGAATGTATATCAATCTCTCCTTTTCTGTCCTATTAATTACCCCAAAAGAATTTGTAGCGCATCCAAAAATTAGAGAAAAGATAAAATCGACATCTTCGTTGATTTCACAGAAAACATTTTGCAACGTTGCATTCGATTTTAATTAACATGGGGGGTGGCTGATATGTACGGTATCGATTCGATATCGTTTCCTGCGCTACTTACTAGAGCGCGCGAGATCGAGACGGCGCGATCGTGCCAGGAAATCTTCGTTTCCTCCAGGAAAGGCCAGAGTCTCATTACGCCGGCAAAACTCTCGCATTTTCCGCTAAATGTCCGTTTCGTATTAATGAACGACTTATCTTCATATTTGCTGTCACCGCGCAGCGCCGGCCGGAGCTCGTTTACGGAAGTTGGCTAGCTGTTAACTATAGTAACTACGGAATTAATTGAGACCCCCGCCGGTCTATCTTGTTATCCGAGTAAATGCTGGATTCTGGTAACTGCTCATCGGTGTCTGAAAACGAGCCGCGATGAGCAGCCTCCGTCTAATTAGAAATGTATGAAGGCAAAGGCGCGAAGAAGGGAGAAAACCTCGCGCGACCGTTCTTCTCGTAATCGCCGGGAGAAATTAGACGCCGCGGTCGGTTTGCAAAATTAACAACCGACACGAATGTTGAAAGAAGGAAAGATCGACTGTGGAAGGAATTTCGAAGTCGTATCGCACTGGACGTTCAACCCTTTGCGGTTCGAGGCTCTTTAATATCTCATTCCGGCAAGTCTGTGCGCAATGCAGCTACTTTTACTTACAATCCACGGATTAGCTCTATTTTTTTATCGTAGCGATAAGAAATCGATACAAAATACGTCCTATGACGTCACCTCCCATGCTCGCCACCAGAGGGGTTGCGTTCTCACAAGCGCTCGATCGACCCCTTAGTTGCTATTGTATACATACAAGGTGTTCGGCCACCTCTGGGAAAAATCTTAATGGGAGATTCTAGAGGCCAAAATAAAATGAAAATCAAGAATATCAATTTCTTGACTCAGACTTCGTTAAAAAATTATTAACAATTAAATTAAAAAATTTCAAATCGTTCTGAAAAAATTATTTTCGGTTGCGGGAGTCAATTACAATTATTTTTGGTGAATAGACATACCTACGAAATCCTACCCACTTTCTAGAAAAAAATTCGAGAATGTGTGAAATTTTACGACGAAAAAAAAAAATTTGAAATCACTCTGGAAAAATTATTTTCGGTTGCGAGGGTCAATTACAATCATTTTTGGTGAATAGACATACTCCCGAAATCCTACGCATTTTTGAGAAAAAAATTCAGTATGGGTGGAACTTTAAACGTTAATAACTTTTTAACGAAGTCTCCATCAACAAATTGGTATTCTTGATTTTCGTCGTATTTTGGCCTGTAGAAGACCCCATTAAAATTTTTCTTAGGAGTGGCCGAGTACCCTGTATACATTCCTCGAACGACTTCCCAATATCCAAGTCGTCTAAGGCAGGGCCTGCTAGAAAACCTTACTGATGAGTCCACTAACAGGCCCGGACGAAACGCGCCCTCTCCTTTCCTTTTCTGTACTCCTACGATTCTCACGAGATCCCTAACTGCAGCGAAGCAGGGCGATAATTGGTAACTCCGACGTGATCAACGTCGTACGAACAATTTTTGTGTACGTGGGTGATGCTAGACGTGGTCAACGTCAACATAAACAATTTTGGTGTACGCGGGTGACGCGCAAAAAGACGCGTTCACGATCAGTCTCGTAAAGACGTTGTTGTGCAGTCCGTAAGAGTCAGTCGGTTAACGACGTGATAGTATCGGAGTTAACATTAATAGAGTTAATAATTTTGGGGTAGATAGTTGGAGTCGTTATTTTAACCACCAGCCCCCTCAATTCTATTATTATTTATAATCGATGTTAATCATCGTACCTTTGATTAACCTGTGCCATTTATTTTTTTTTCTTCGTATTACTTTGAAATTCAACGATTCGTTCAATTTTTGTTTACGATTTAATTCGCGTCGAATCAACAAATATTTACGAAATTGCAAAGTCCAGTTTCTCTTTTAATCGCGTAACGAGATTCCTCGTCGTTTGTAATACGAAAACGCGTTCGATGGCGAAATAATTGCTAAGAGAATAACAGGAATGAAAACTGGACGCTCTCGAATTGGGCCGAATTATTCGTGAAAACTGATGGGTTTGCCAACAACGGAATACGTTGAAATTTGGTTGGCGTACAATTGTTCTGCTCTTGATAAAACATTTTCAATCCTAACAGGATCGACCCGAGTTTTGCAATTAAATTCAATTTTGTTAAACCCTATGTATCCTTTTCGAATTTCGAAGGAACCCTTTTATGAATATAAATTTTGCAGTGGATACATTATTACGTAATTAATAAGGTTTGTAAATTGTTGAGAATCATCTAAGAGACCACTGTTAGTAATATGAATATATACCAATTAAATTTGTACAGAAATAAGAAAATTGAGTAATACTTACGGAATAATTTCGTTGGTGGCAAGAAGCGTACCTGAGGATTGAAACTTCATTCGATGGGATTGTATAGGCGGTGCAACGCAGTAAAAATAGATGAAGTAAGGATCAGGAAGTATCTGTAAAAATGGTTCAGGATGATTTCGAATTGAAGGTAGTGTTCTGAATTATTTAGTAGATGGCAACGTTAAAAATATTTTTGAAGTAGAACGCGTAATCTGGTTTTACGTTCGAACATAATAAAATCACGATTCTGAATTTAAACGCAGCACCGACTTAAAAATAAAGTAGAGTTTATTGGTCCTGGAATAAGTACATAAAATTTATTCAAATGAATTTGATAAAATTATTTTAAAAATTCAAATACGTATTCACGTATTTCAGTATAATTATTAATTTATTAATGTATTACTTCGTTACCGCATATTACTGTTTATCATCTTCGTTCTCTTCGAATTACAAAAGTAAAAATTTATTGTACCGCAATTGTCTTCATGTTATATTCAACGCATTTCTAAATCGATTAAATCAGAGATAGGAGATATGGGATTTGAAATATTTAACTGAACACGACGATCGGTGGATGTTACGCGCGATGGGACAATTTTGGGATTCAAAAACTCTATCAGTCTGCGATATGGAACCGGTAATGGGGAAAAATCGTGAAAAATAAACTAGAAGCTTTCCGGAACAAAGTAAATATCTTGCAAATGATATTTTCAAGAGAAACATTATATGCAATCTAAATACCTAAAGTTATACGATAAAAAACAAAAATTCCTGTAAGAGAGTATGAAATATCATCAATAAGGGAGAGGAGATCAATCCAGAAACTTATAGAAACATATAACACGTTAGTTTAGAAATTAAAATACCAAAAATCGCTTCCTCGTGGGAATTAAATGTAAAATAAATATAACGAAGACATCGACAGTAATATTTTCACAGGTATTTTGAAATTTGGTTATCCAGTACACTAAAACAACAATGACTATAGTAGTGTACTAATATTGTGGCGATATCTATCATACTTACCTTGTTATAATTAACTATAATTATATATAGTACTGTACAATATAGAGGAATTAACAGGGAGTGGACACAAATGGGGCAAGTGCTCGTTGGAAGAAATCAGACTTAGAGCACGATGACTTGAAACAGATTCTAGAATATCAGTCGTTTATGGTTACAAGTTTCTATAAAAAATAGCGTTAAATATTAAAATTTATAAGTTGTTGGATTAACTTCATTATTATTAAAAGTCTCGTATGTTTGACTGCAGGATAAATATTTTATTTAAAACAGATGTTTCATTAACTATGAATTATTATGACAACAATATCCAAGCTCTAAATCCTTCATACGTTACAATAAATTTAATTGTTCGTTTCTCATTAAAACACTTCAATTGGAAGTATTTGAATTCTGAAATTATGGTAATACCATTTCTGTATTGTTTGACGTAACATTTTCATATAATAACAGTCATACATACTTAACATTCACAATTATTATTTATTGTACATACGTACAAGATATTCTAGTAACTATAGCAACTTTAATAAAATAAATTTTTTCATCGGGCACGTAAGAAATAGAGTACGACTTGGAAATCAGTAGTAATAGTCGATAATGGCCAGACGTGCCAGACAAATTGTATTCACTCGCACACGTATTTGACAAATTCTTCTGTTTTTCAAAATGATGGATACAATACAGTGAATATATCCTCAAAAATACTTTTACCAAGTTTAAATAACACATTTAAAAAAAAAAATTTCACATTTTCACAAGATACAATCCGATATATCTGATCTTCCACTTTGAATTTTACATTTTCTTTCCCGAATTCGTGAAAAATAATCCTAGCAACAAAAATTTCACTGGATAAATATTCTTTTTATATAAAACGACCAACATTGTAGGTTATGCTTCCAGCCATAGTTTTTTCCCCCATCCGTATCCTCCGCTCGTAAGACAGAAATGATCGACGCGTAGCAGGATTAAATAAATCTACACACGATACAAATCAATGATTCCTTTATTAAGAAATATTGTATTGTTCCGACAATCGCGAAATGTTGGTACGAATATCATGGCTCTTTAAGCTATTACGTTTCGACGCATACGCCTCGGGATCGTCGACTTCGCGTCCAGTCAAGAATGGACCGAAGTCGCGCGACGTCGCCGAATAAGTGTCAGCGGCTTCGTGGGATCGATCGTGCGTTCTGCACGTCGCAATTCACTCTTTCTCGCGTCGTTGCTCGTGTCCCGCTGTCAGATTTCGGCGCGCGGCGCGTTATAATATTCTCTCGTGTTAAAACACCGTACACCGAACGTTTAAGAGAAGTAAGTACAACATCAATGATTTTTTTTTTTTGTTATTTTTCCAAAAAACGATTCTCATCCGAGGACCCTCAGTCACCCTCTCGTTTCGCGGCCGCGTCAGGTCATCGCAGGGCCGTGCCCAGGTACTTTGGCGCCCAGGACAACAATGGAATACGGCACCCTTTACGATTAATATATAATACATTTATGGGTACCTTGCCTCGCTATCGTAAAAGAAATTCAATCTCGAATTTTTCGAAAGAAAATCGAATTTTACCATTTTTGGTACGACCGTGGACAAAAATATGATAAAAATAGACCGATAAGAAAAATTATTGCAACTTAAAAGACTGGAAGTTTTAATTCTCGGACAGTGGATTTCGAGCGAGTTAATTTTTCTCTTTCACTTTTACCTTGTTATTGACGGAAATCTAAATTGAACTATATCGTTCCAAAAATGAAAAGAATATTTGTAATAGTTATGTATTAGTTTAGAAAGAAATATTTCGTACGCATCCCATCGGAGGAGAATTCATTTATGTATTAAATATATTTTCTCCTTTCGTTCATTATGTACAAGTACGAAAAGTGTAAAATAAAAGAAATTTATCCTCGGTTTGTATTCGACTTGGCATCCGTTGTCCAAGCATTAATAATTACCGATATAAAAATGCAACATGTAGTTCCATATAATCGTTTATTAAAATAAATAGAAAACGTGAGTCCTTATGCTACGCGGTTTCAAGGTACGCGGATTCGTAGAAACGAGGTTGTGCCCGCATTCGCGTCCATACACATATCTTGTATAAATGTACGTATTTATATGTATATTAAATAAAGTTTTCTTGGCTTCAATTATTTTTTCCCATTATAGAGTGCACATGGATCTGCTTAACTTTCATTAACTTTCGAGACTACGATTGTGTACCGAACGCATCGTAGACAGAAAGAAAGATCAGTCCTGAAAGGGGTTGCGACACGTATTGGGTCAGACGTCGTGGTCAGTCTTCATAAAGCTTGCGACTAATAAAAAATTACTCCACGCTCTCCATATTCCCTTCAATCACAATCTTTTAAATCCAGAATTCATCTTTTTTTCTCCCCGCGATTCGTCATGTTTATACAGGGTGTCCACAAATCAAACCAAGCAAAGTTGAAATGTAAAAGGATCTCGAAACAAAGAAAATTTCGACGTTGTTCGTTTCCATAAGAAATTTTCTTGATTTCAAAATCCTCCGTTGGCATTTCAAGTTCGACCATTCAACCTAGGAGCATCCTGTATAGTTTGACTTACGCAGAAAGCTTTGAAACAAATCGACCGCGTCAGTGGAGGACTTACTGTATTATTTCACAAATAATACGTAAAGTATCGAAGTAAATAATTTATTTTTTCTTTCCTTTCAAAGTAGCTCGTTTTTGGGTCTTTGTTACACGGCACCCAGGGTCACATACCCCTTCTGTCCCTGCCTTGTCACGGCCCTGGATCATCGCACCGAATGTCGCGGCGGTAAGCTCCGACCATAACTGTCGAGCTACTCGCCACCAACCGGATGCCAATTGCGCTCGAGACCGTGAAATTCCACGGACCGAGTAATTAAACGATCGTTCGATCGTTGTGCCCGCGCCCCGTCGCTGAAGGCGACCATCGCGCCTGGAAACCTCGATACACGGTCATTTTCATCGACGAATCCCCCCGCGGTTACGAGCAGGTCTGCCAAAGTGATTTTATCGAAGTATCAAAATCACCGATCGAAAAATATCCAATTTTACATAAAAGTCATATACATCCTTTTGATTATAAAGTCGGTCTTTCAACATCGATTTCTTTACCAACCCTTCTCTTTCATTTCATTGCAAAGACATTGTAATCTTGCCAAAGACAGAAAATCCTATTAATTAATTTGTGACGAGTCATTAAATTTCAATCCTTCTCTGTGTATGGAATTGGTCTCTTTGACACTGTTGCCGGGGCAATTTTTTAATTGGCACGTTCCGTAGGTACCTGCTCCGAAACTCCAAGTTTATTCAAATCAGAGAAAATTTATGCTAAGAATGCATAGCACATTTCAGTAATTGGATTTTTCAATGTTTTTAATACGGCAAAAGCCAAGCGTAAAGAATTATTTTAAAAGCAGGCTACTGACCCCCAGCATCCTTTAACAACATTTCGAAAGAATCTGAAACTTTGAATATATTAACAATTTCTTTGATCTATTCGACAGAAAATGGTAAATATTTTTTACTCGTCTGAACAAGCTTTTGGACCAAAAGGGTAAGAACATTCGCCTCTACCACGGTGTTATCACTTGCAAAGCTAATTATGTTTGCAAAACAAATATTACGTTGTTCGGAAAAGGTTTCTGCAGCTCAATTAATTTCTAAAAGAATTAAATATTTATCAAACTGAGTTCTTTAATTGCAAATATATCAATGTATTCAACTATAACCAACGAGAAACCCATAAGTAATTGAAAAGTAAGTTCATCGAAGAAAGATCAAGGACATTATGGTACGTGAAAGTTCCTTTGATCCTCACATGCTTAATGTCTTTGATAATTTTAAAGTTCCGACAAGTATTTCAAACAAGACCAAGCAAATGATCCGAAAGAGATATAGGTGGGCAAGTTATGCTCTGCAATGAAAGTTTAAAGTTTTAACTCCGGTGCAGCCACTTCGCTTAAACGAGCAGAAAATGGGACAGATTACTTTTGTAATCTGCTTATTTAAATTTATATTTAAAACATTGTTTTCGGTATTATCGTGCCCTTCGTCGTGCAACAATTTAGCGAACATTTAACGCTCGCGAAACTTGGATTTAACGTTGCACTGCAGAAGCTCTGGGAAGTTTATATTCCTCTTTTCACTTATTACGATAAAATCAGTGACGATATTATACGGCATACCAATAACGCGGAAAGGGAATGAAACACGAAAAACATGCACCAATTCGAACTAAACGGGGCATAGTAATCGAATTGTGCCGATATTGAATTGTGCTGCACAATAAACTAATCCGTTCGTGAAAATATAATACGGTGGTATTCAAACTTTTTCGAGGATGGATTTTTAAAATAATTATGTTTATGTAAAAAATTATTTAAATAAAATCTCTTAGTCAAATTAAATACACGCCTTTCGTGGTAATGAGTACAAACTTCGCGAGGAAGTAGTCTTTTGACAAGTACACCATTCTTTAGTCACGCGTATAAAACTTACCCGAAAATGATTTCAATACCACAAAATATAACTTTTTCAGGAAAGCACGGTTAAAATGTTTTACAAGTTCACAGCTCGAGATCCGAAACTCGACTGCCTTTTCTGGCACTGCTTCAGCACCGTAAAACTTACGTCTAGAGTTTATATTATTTCAGGTCAGATCTGTTTGCATTATAACTTGTGACGAAAAACAGACCTCGTTACTAAGTGTAAACGAAATGTATCGTAACAACTGAATTATTTTACTTAACGTTGATTTTTACTAGATTGGTAAATGGAAATCAACTTTCCTTTAAAGCGTTTAAAAAATAATGAACTAATGGAGAATTACATAAATTTAAACAATAATTATAATCTACTTAAGGGCTAACTTGATTTTGACTTTATTTTAGTACAGGCTATAGCGACACTTGTACTGAAGTTACACGCTAAATTTGAACGAAATCGGTCAAGTAGATGTTGAGATATCATAAAAGCCAATTGGGAAAAGATAGTTTTGAAAAAAACGCATTTAAACAGAAGGATCAGACCGTTTAAACAGGTATAACTTTAGAAGTTCGGTGATATGCTTTTGCACAGATATTTCTAAGACTGTATATTTTAAGAAAATGGAGGAAAAAATGGAACTTTTGGCGGTTTACAGTAGAAGACCCCCTTAAAGTAAAGTAGGAATATTTCAAGCGATGCAAATTGAACTTCGACGATGAGGGTATCAATATAGAAAGAGACGTTACATTATCCCAATTCTTCTACGTTAAAAATTCCTCTTAATTTGTAAATTGTTGGAACGATACATAACTTCCGTTTGCTAATGGCGTTCAGTTTTGATTAGTCCATAATGCCCATAAATTTCAAACGTATCAAATTCTTTGAATATTATATCGAAAGTACAAAGGGATACAAGAGATTGCAACTTTGGCAGGCCTCTCGCTAAATCGCCACGGCATGTCCACGGGCGGAGCCACTCGCCGCGAAAAAGCAGAGAAACTCGACGAGGTTCCGCTTCCGGCCGAACGTTACGCTCGTAAAGCAAAAAAATACGATACGCTAAAGTTTTACGGCGGACGTTCGTGTCGTGGGACGCGGCACACCGGCCTCAGTGCCATTTTGGTACCGCGTTGACGGGACAGAGTGGGTGGGAGGGAAGGTGCCTGAGCTTCAGGTAGCTTCGGTTTGGACATGCCTGACGGAGACGAGGAGACGCAACACGCGTATCGACGCTCTCTCCCTCCGATCTACCACCTCGAGGCGGACGTCGACGGGAAGATCCAACAACGACCTTGGCGAAAATCGCGCGCGATTGCTAGCGAGGACGCGCGTCTGCCTTCCGTAGCAACGCCCGTGGTCGTAACCTACCGATTTCTGAGCAGCTCCGCGCAGACCAGGACAAGCAGATGCAGTGAGAAGTACTGGGGCGCCGTTGAGAGGGCGGTGGAGGCCAACGGGTAGGCGTAAGACGAGTAACACTCTTTGTAGGACTCGGGGTTCAGCCTGGTGACCGTGCAGTAGTGATGGAGGGCGCAGGCACCGTTCAGAGGGCCGCCGCATCCCCAAATTTGCTCGACTTCCCGCGGCAGCGAGACCGTGTTGGCAGCGTAATATCTGCGAGGACAGAAGCGCGACATGCGCGGAAAGATAATCAGTCTGGGGGGGCCACGCGAGGCGGACGTGCGAGTAGCGCGGAAGCATATCGGAACGGTCATTAGCATCGTAATGGCGCGATTGCGTTGAAAAGGGTAGACAGTTATCAGCGCGGACCGGCTTGGAATTATCATGCCAGGTAATTACTCGAGAAATATGGAAATTATTAATCCTGTCGCTCTGGCGTGGCACGACGACGAGCGACGGGGGTGGGAGGTATCTCACGCAATCGCCGCATCGGATCATGTAAATGCGGTCGCACGGTGTCGGGCACTTTGCCACCCAACCGGGGGGGTACAGGTGCGAGGTTCCAGCGCAACTTTGTCACGAGCAATTTGCGTCGGTCGTGCGTTACCGACGCCACGCGGGGTCAGGGATGTTCCAAGGTTCTTCGCGCTACGGACTTTATGGTTGCGTCGGTTCGTACCGTAAGTAGTACGAGCGGGATAAACGTACCTATTATGGAGAAACTTGTTTCTATCGAGATCAACCTCCTGGATGTAGGGAAGACCGGAGTCAATAGTAACATGTTAAGTAATTTAAGATCTATACCAATTATCGTAAATTTTGAATATATGATACAATACTGTAGGAATGAATGTGCCGTGTGAATGTTTATTGATTGGTATGGCTGAGGAATGTTTCGAGTAAATCTATTCCAAAAAATTTTACCAAATCACTGAAACACGTTAATTTTGTCAATTTGACTGCAAAATGTGTTATAGTTTATTCGCAAAAAATTCCCCAATAAGAAAAAATGCACTTCACATGCAATTCTTGTGTCATATACTAATACTCAAGAGAACAAAATTTAATTTCCGTATGTGTCTAAAAATGACATTTATACGAAGCTTAAGTAATTGGTACATTTGTCCCATTTCAAAAATTATTCCGAACAGATTTAATTCTACAGAAGGAAATAAATCCATAAGAGAGATTGTACTGTACTTAAAAATCTCATTTTGTGCACATGATCTCTATAGCAATGTCTACAATCATAATTAGTTTGGGTCTATGGATAATAAGTATATTAAAACTGACAGAAGATCGAGATTGATAAATATTTTATAAAATAAATGTTGTAACGTTGATGCTTAGTTTTCATTACGTTAACGGTCCTTCATAAAATGTCTTTGATTATGACACAAAGAATTCTGCCGAGAGTTCTATGACTGCGTCAGCATTTCTTAACTCCTTCTTTATGGAAATGACTTCGCAAACTCTTGACTAAGTAATCCGATGGAGTCGTGTCTGGAAATTAACCCTGAATAAATAAACGTACTGTACTACTCTTGGTGGCTGAACACGCGTCATTTTTACCCGCGACACCACAAATATTCATACAAGTCGAGGAGGATTAAATAAAAATAAAATAACGAAAGAAGGTCCTACATATTTTACGATTAAATCGATTGCGCATCGATGATACTGAAAATACGAACATTCTCAGTTTATAAATATTAAATTCAATTCATATAAAGGGTGTTTGACCACCCCTGGGAAAAATTTTAATGGGAGATTCTAGAGGTCAAAATAAGAAGAAAATCGAGAATACCAATTTGTTGATTGAGACTTCGTTAAACAGTTATTAACGTTTAAAGTTCCGCCTGTAGAACGACAATTTACAAACAGCTGCGTGTGAGTGACCAGTAGTTACATAGTAGTACTTACATCCAGTGGATTATTTCACCCCATTTTTCTGGGACTCTAGAGCTCCATTAATACGAATTGTTTGCATTTTGAAACATTAAATCCTCCAAACCGTTCAGGAGTTATGATTTTTTAAACATACCCATGAAAAGGGGAATCGGAATTTCAGGGTCAGACATTGTATTTTCGGTAAAAAAATTTTTTCTCGAAAATGCGTAGGATTTCGGGGGTATGTCTATTCACCAAAAATGATTGCAATTGACCCCTGCAATTAAAAATAATTCTTTTAGAACGATTTGAAATTTTTCAATTTCGGTCGCTATGGCAGTGGGATTCAGTCACGAAAGTCCATAAGGTGTAAGGTCTACTCTTACACCTCGTCTGTGGTGAGAACTAGTATCGCGCGAATAATTGGCATTCTTGATTTTCATCTAATTTTGGTCTCTAGAATCTTCCACTAAAATTTTTCCCAGGGCTGGCCGAGCACTCTGTATAATTAAAGATATTGATAAATTAAATTTATTTCGTTTCTTAGACTTAAATAATTGTTTAATTGTTCCATTTAACGTGGTCTGGTGCATGTATGATAAAACACTGCAATATTGTTGATCTTATAATCAAGATTATTACTTCTTACGATAGTATATTATTATTAGAGTAGCTAGAATGGAAGTGTGATACAGAAAAGAGCATTGCAGAATAAGAATAATAATACTTTTGACTATCCCGCAACATTCGATCAGACCTGTACAGCTACACGATGTGTGCAGACTTTGAACGCGAAAGAATTTCGCAAGAAAATCATCTGATACAGTATTAAATTTCAATTTAAACGTTGGTCCCCGTATTCGAGATATTTTAAAAATGCAGTCGCTAATACACAGTCAGTTCTTGTCTTCGGAATACATGAATCTGTTCAAATATGCATGCCTCCGATGTGGCTGCATTTATATAAGTAAGCTAAATTTAATAAAGCATAGAAAATATGATCCGTGCCACAAATATCTGCGACGAAACGACGCGTATGAAATGTTTCCGATGCAAGCTACATTTCTACTTCAAAAATTATTTTCAAAACGATCATCCCTGCGATATTTATTGTTATTCTATGAACGTGACCTCATCAGATTATTACTTATTCAGCAGTTTTCGGAGTCATATTATTCGAGGAGTAATTTCAGCTGTCGTAGTAATGCGATCGATGCTCAATTAATTGTTTTGACGTATAACCGTTAACGAAATAATCGTTAGTCTCAATTGATGTGTATTTTGACTTTTCCAAAAATATACAGAAAAATTATGATATGTCAGACCTCTAATATATTGTACGATCTTTTCAGAGCATCGGGGAAAATAAAAGATTGAAATAATTATTTCAGATTGTTATTTAAAATAATAACTTAGTTGGGTCTGTGTTCCATACGAGCTAACAAATATCAAACTAGACCCACGAGAGTCGACTATATCTTTAGAATCGCTAATAATAACCATATAATTTACTTAATGCCTTGGAAAGTCAAACAAAATAATTTTCAAGCTAATTGTACGTGGGGGGGGGGGGTCGGGGGGGATAAAATTTCTTCCATGAAATGTATTCGAACAGTCTCGTGCACTGTTCAAACACGTATCCGAATCTGAAATGCAAACACGTCGAAAGAAACCGTAGAGCAAGTAACACATCGTTGGTCATGGTTAAAACGTCAGAAGCGTTATTCCAATTTTTCATCGTCGACGTGCTCCAGCCCGGCGAAGTCAAACACAGATGATCGATGATACCTGTCCGCGATACGATCGCGATCACGTCCCCCGCGCCCCGTTAGGAGGTAAAAATTTGTCAACGCCCGTATTCCCTTACTTACCTGACGAAAGCGTAATCATTGGATTGCGTGAATCGGTCGGCCAAGTCGTGAAGAGTAATCGGCGTTATTTCCTGAAGCTCGTAGTAGTCGAGCATGGAGTACTCAACCACCCAGTTTGCCTTCCCGATTGAATTCGCTTCCGGCAGATTAAGATAGTACTGCGTATAATCCAGGACCTGAATACGACAGAACCAGGGAGGGATCGTATATATTCACGGGCTCTTTCAATCGGGACGTCGCATAAATAGATGGTCACAGACGGACAGAGATTATGGACGCCAATGGCGCGCTGTTCAACCTACCTGGCCGGTTTTAGTTTCGAACTTGTACAGTCTCAAACCTGGATTGTTGGGGCCTCCAGGCGTGCTGGGCGATATACTGGGTGCCATCATTATCCAAGATACCGGCAGACCTGGCGGCACGAATATCGTTTCACGATTACAATCAATTCCCCGAATTCCTATTATATCCCTATATTCGACCGTGATGTTATCGACCTATACTACGTGCATCGAAGTAAAAAAAAAAAACCGGGAAACCGGTTTTTAAAGCGCATCGAACACGTACCGTGACCAATAAGGAAAACTGTAAAACGGGAGGAAAGTATTCCGTTGCCGAACGGCACACGCGGGGAATTTATTGATTATCGTTCTCGGCTTCTAGCGTTTCCGGAGTAGTACGTGGAAAAATATAAGTCGATCGTGCGGAACTCGATGGACTCGCGAGGCGTCGTGAAAGTTATCATCCGCCGTTTATTGTCGCTGCTTAGGCCGAACGGCGATAAATTTTCCGTGAACCGCCGCGCAATTTCAGAATTTTTCTTTAGCTTATACTCGAATTTAAAAAAATTTACGCGTCGCACCGCGGGGCAGTTGCCTCGAAAATACGGTAATAAGTCATTTTTTAGAAAGTAATAATGAAAAATTAAGATATATATGAGATTTCAGTTAGAAAATGTTTTCTCATCATACTATCCTTAATAATTCGTACTTGTAAATTCAAAAAGAAATTACGAATTTCTAGAAATTTTGCACTGCTATTACTCTGTCGAAGAAGAATCGTACAAATTGACGATTAAAACGAATATAATCGAGATTCTACTACATTAAAATATTTCTGAAATTACGCGACGTAACCAACAAAATGAAAAAAACTTCCTATTACATTATCTTGGATACTTACAGGTGCAAATAAACGTAAAAAAAACTTTTCCCATTTCGATGGAAATGTCCGAAGTTTGCAAATTAAAATGTCGTGTATACACGTTAATGTATGGCTGTCATTGTGCCGCGCGTACACGTTCGCGCTCTAATATTTTTCCCGCAATTACTAATTTCAGATTGCTCCAGTTCTGTTCGCGCGACGAAGCGTTCTATAAACGTTTGCATTACCGACGTTTAAGGATACGCGAATAAATTATCCATCCCGAAGGTAATGCATTTTATAGATTTTGCTGTCACCGCGTAAACGCGACAGCGTTTAACAAAAGAACCGAGGAGCACGGATTTCTGCGTTCCTTTGTACATGAAATAGGACACGTTCGTGCTCAGCCAATACGCGGCGTATCGCTTAAAAACCCTGAAATAACGACCACGTTTCAATCTGCCAATGGCGAAGTCACAATAAAACAAAGCAATCCGCGCAAAATAGAGTCGCCAAGTACCGCGAAACGATTACTCGCGAATACCTTGTCGTGTGTTTCGTTTCGATGACTGAAAGATTAACGTGACTTAGTCTCAGACGCACCACTTCCCACGAAGGAATAAAATTTCTTTTCTTCTCATTTTTATTGACGTTTTTAAGAAACATTTACTTGCTTGAATTTCTTCATTTTTGATCATCGATACTGTAAATAATAAAGGAGTGCTTGATTCTACTCGTATTTAACCCGATGGCCAAAATAGTTATTACGATGCATGGTTATTTAATAAACAATTCGATACAATGGCACTGATAATGAATACAATTTATACGAAGCAATAAATGAAGCAGAAACTGTGATTCAATGCTCGATGTGTAATATAAAGCATACTGCGTTGCACGACGTGTCGAGTTCATGCTTTACTACATCAATTTTGTCTGAAGTCTACGTTATTAACAAGGGAATATTGCAAACTGCCAGATATCGATTCTGATGAAAATTTACAGAAATTCTAATTTGTCCAATTCAACAACCGTGCCGTGTTTCGTTGCTGCTTTTGTTCGTTTTTAAGTGAAAAAACTACCCTTTGCATTGAAACAGACCCATCTTAATTATGCTTGAATTATAAAGATCATCGAATAATGGTTTAAATAAAAGTTTCAGATAAAAATAAATTAACTTTCGTTTAGAATATTTCTCAATACCTGGTGCAATTTATGTAGGCATAAAGGGGACAAATACCCGACATTTTATTTTTTTATTTAATGTTTTTACTGCACCGTAAAAGAAAAGAAAAGAAGGCGAAAAGAACATAATCTATATAACCCACTGGTTATAAACGGAGAATGGGCAAGGTTCTGCAACAGCTGTTTTACAACTTAACCCTAACAGAAGGGGCGGTCTCTCCCTTAAAGTAGACTGGCAGCAACAATGAAAAATATCGACTGGGTTATTTAAATGGCCTGACTCAACCATCTCTGTATAATACACAAGGTGATCTGTAATGGGTGGTAAAAAAAATGACGATTTTTTATTGTTATATGATCTTAAGGTAAATTTTTAACACTATTATATTATAAATTGGAGCAGTCAGTTCCACAAATATTTGAAACAAGATTATTCCGAATTACTGATAGCCGTGAAAATGAATTATTTATTGAGTCTGCATAACACAATACTATACCAACCAGTAATCGTAGCTCGTGTAGTAACTGCTTTATTCAGAATGCAATAGTGTTTACAAATTTATCCGATCCTCCTCGAATCGAACAGAAACTCGTAAACCCAATATCGAATTCCGTCGTATCTGCCTACAACCTAGATTGTTGCAATGCAAAATAAGACGGTCATACCGTAGGCGTGCTCGCGCAATTTTTTCCTATTTCAATGCACTGACTTTCCAATCTTTTTATTTTCATTTTTATTAAAAGGAATCGCGTTGGAGAATTTAATAAATGTTTCCTTTTTCAGACCTTCCTCTGTTTTTAACGATCAATGCCGTACGGCGGAGCGTTTATAATGCCTCGAGGAGACTCGGAACTCTGGTCGACGGGATTCTCGGGGTCGCGCCGATGGACATTTACGCAAAGATTCGTTAGAACCGTCGGTCGACGGTCCGCAGTGTTTCCTTTTAAGTCGTAACCGCGAAATGAACCGTAGGAGAAACGGTCGCGCCGTTGCAAAAGCGCGGAAAATGTGGCGTGAAGCGAACGTAAGTAACAGGTACGCGACAGAGAGCCCAGGAGCCACTCGGCTAGAGAACCACAGAGTGTAAAAGGCTGAGAGAGCCCGGTGCATCGATTCGAGACCGAGGCGGTCGATTCGACCCGTTCAATCGACGAGGAGGAAAGAATCGAGGCGTACCTGTATCGCTGTAAACTACGCGGTAAGTATCGGAGTGCCAGTGACCGAAGAATTGCCCGCGAATGATGTCCGAGTTGAGGCTGACCAATCGAAGGTACTTGGCGTTGTGCCTTCCGCTGAGGGCAGCGGCGCCGCTCTCGCGTTCATCGACTCCTGGTGGCGTGTGACCAACGATATAAACCTGCAACGATCAAACAGAGAACCTTTCAGATTGATAAACCAACATGTACCGCAGAAAACATCAAGGAGAAACAGGTGTCCCTGCTATACCAGGCGATTTGGGGGATCTAGAGTTCGGAACTTTCGGGATTCAAAGCGATTTCTTGAGTTATTTTATAAGTTCACCTGGAATAATATGGAATTATACGGAAAAGGAGTGGAAGAAAAGCCTGTAGTGTGCAGGAGTTTAGGATTTTAAATGATTTCTATTGATGATAACTGCATAGAGTGCCTTTTAGCCTGATAGAGGAAACTGCATAGTAAAATAGTAGGGGGAAAAACAGGTATCCATAATACATCAGGCATTAACGGGAAGGATTCAGGATTTAAAGTCCTGAGGTTTCAGGATTTAAAGTGGTTTCTTGACTTCCTAATCAATGGACCAGCATTGACAAAGTGCTTTCTAGACTATTACAACAGTGCAGTTTATAAGTGTAAGGAATATATGACACGATGATAGAAAGGTTTTAGAATTTTGAGATCTAAAGCTTTGGAACTTTAAATGATACATTGACTTCTCGATTATCAAACATGAAATAAAAAAAACTTCTGCAAAGAGGTTGGATAGAAGACACTTGGAACAACTTTTGTAGATATCAAAATAAAAATTTAGTAATCATGCTCGTCAGTTTTCTAACGAGGACAAATGGTCCACCAGAAAACTAGGACGAAACACTCAGTTATTAAAGTACAACTTGTTCGCATGAAAAAATGACTTTGAAACTCTTAAAAGATGATACGCATCGGTCGTTAGGGCCAGCTATTGTTAATGTCTGTTCTTAAAGTTATCGCAGTTAAAGTAGTATAATTATTCATTTTTAAAGATAAGTACTCGTGTATTCTTCAAGGTTAGGTTAACAGCAGCATATAGCTGTACCTCGTTATTTCACTCAAATTATTATAATTTATTCGTTTTGCATAATTCTGATTTTTTTTAACGTTTGAAACGTATTATTATCATTGTCACAAGGTCACAAGTTCACTTGGATGCGACCTACATTTTTTCTAACCCAGAAGTTTTTCATAGAACACCTCATACGGTATTCTCGGATGGAATTTCCAAAAAATAGAAAGAAAGGAGGAATCACAGACACGATGAACCTATTTGTGCCAAGACCACCTTTGCCTTCAGGCAAGGAAAGGTAAAATTCTAGAAGGAAAAAGTGGGACAGACACGAAGAAAGTAACCTGGAAGATAGAGTAGAATACCGCTAACGTAGGAAGAAGTACCTTTAAATGGATTCCCAATCTAAAAGAGTGGAGAAAGCAAAAGCACGACGTAGTAAATTATCATTGAACCCAAATCCTAACTGAGCACGGCTGTTCCTTGCCCTACGAGTGATGTAAGGAGACAGATGACCTAGATGAACCGTAGAAGATGCACCGGATGGGCAAAAAGAAACGAGGAAAATTCAGCCGTGACATGGGAACTCGACAACCTCTTCCAACGAATTAAATAAATAGACTGATCGTACGGGGGATAGAAAAATAGAAGAATACGAACGAAAACTGTAAACAGGTTTATTCGTAGGTAGATAGAACTAACTCACAGAAACGAATATTTATTTTTTATATACTCTGATGTCAATCAAGCTTTCCCAAGGAACTTTAAACTTAAAATAAATTGGTGTGCCCATCAACTATACGCCTTCGCCATCTAGTTAATCATACATACAGACAGAAGTTTTGAACTGCACAGAGATAGCTGATTTATAATGCTATAGGTTTATCGAGACCTATGATCTATTATACAGGGTACTTATACTAACTGGGCCAGGCCTCTATAACTCTATAACTCTATTTCAAGCAAATATAGAAAAAAATTGTTCGTGGTTTAATGACCCAAGTGCATCGGTGTACGTGCATAATGCAACAGTGCCTTCTTTAAACAGAACTGTATAATTTTTCTAATACGAATCGATTTCACAAACTTTTCTCTACGTATTATGTAATACAAAAGATATTCTTCGACCGACCAACTGAAAATTAACCGCTGATAAACAATTGTTAATACGAACAAATGACATAAATAGGGGCGGCACAATTTCTGTGCTTCGCATGACACTGCTGTTGGCGGTATGTTGGAACACTCTCTCAAGAGCACACAGCGTACGCTCAAAAGCCTCAAACAGTGTGTACTGCGTAAACTTGAATCGCAAGAGCCTCAGAGACCATAGTGGAACTGCATTAGAAATTCATGAAAATCCTATTAAGATTATTTACTCTTCTGCACAGGAGGCAGATATTTCGCGAATTAAATTGTGCTAGCTGTTAATCCGAAAATGCACGTAAAATTTTCATCGCGACGTTGAAAGTGTCCAGAGAGAACATGAAATTCCCATCAAGTCGCTAAGTACAGTCATATAAGTGTGACCTCGTTATTTAGATTGTTACCGTGAGTCAAATTTGGCTTGGTTACGCTCACTGCGATGGAAAATCTGCTGGACACGGCGCGAGGAAATAATGTTACGCCTTAGGATTGCTAACATCCTTTTTCCTAATTAATTAATTTTTTAGGTGTTCGGATAAATAAGTATTTTATTCGAACTCGAGGATAGTCTTCGTGTCTGAAATATGAATATTAATCTATTTATTTGCGTATCGAGTGTCACGATAATAAAAGTTCTTCAACTGTTCCATTACGGTCGATTGTCATTCGAGAACGTTCCTTTCGACAATGTCACGCGCATCTTGATTGCGTAGACACGTCGAGCAGCGAGAATCGAGAATCGAGATGTAAAATGCAGTAACTGTTCGTAATGATGAACCCGCTCGTTAGCGTACGTAGACGAAACATCGTAATCCTTATCCACGCCACGACATTCACTCGAAATGCGGATATCCAGTATAAGGTGGCATGTGGCAGCTAATCGAGCACGTTCGCTAAAGTACACGCAACTCTGGGTGATATTGTTCCCCAATGATCGACTCGTTTGTCGACTCAGAAGGAACGAGGCATCGAAAGTAATAGCGTTCTACCGGAAGAATAATTATTTATAAAGAACCATTTATTAGAGTTATCAAATGGATGAATTTGAAAGAATCTTCGTATTTAAAAATCAACGATTTACGTATTCGACAAAATTAAATTTAAGCGCTTCAGCGATTGCATTCGATCTACAACGGTGAAGTTTGTTGCCGCTTTAACGCCTCCCTAAACGACTCTACGCCCTCCATTTTGAGGGAAGCTCTACCATCAACATGGGAAACGTTGCTCTAGATACAGTAGGACAAACAACTCTAGACACGAACAACATGAGACTCAATTAAGAAGCAAAACATTCGACACGATCTAAGATATACCAAAACACAAACAAGCAGCAAGATTCAACACGCAACACAAACCAACGGCGAGATTCGATATTCGAAATTCGGTTGGCACCTTTCCGTGTAAATAATCCATCCCGACTAATTATTTAGTTCGGATGGCAGGTTTTGCGTTGCGAAATTGCATGCTTTGAAAGCGTGAATTTAATTCAAGTAACGAACAAAATTTCTTTCTATAATACGCGATGTAATAAAAGATTTTTCACAATACGTTGTCACAATTAGAAACATATCCCGCCCGTGCGTTTTCGTCGTCGCAGTTACAACTCAAAATAGATTATCGTACGATCGTAAGAAAGTGAAGACGAGCAAGGTTAGCTGTGTAAAAAGTAAAATCAACGGAAAAGGAGTTACGGGGACGAGAATCAAAGGGAAAAGAACAAAACAGAGACAGTTAAGTGCCGCGGGAGAAGAGATAACAAAGGATGACGTTTTCATGCAAAAATAAAGCAGAACCGTAGAGGCAGAGAGAACGGTACCAGAGGAATCGGAAAGATTCAAGGAATAAAGAAGGGAGGAGTTGCACGGGAACCGGGACTGCAAAAGAGAAACCGTCGCCGTTGGGAGGAAGGGGGGTGGGGGATAGAGGAAGCGTTATCGGGCGGATAAAGAAAAGCTCGTTAAGCTGATAAGAGAAAAACGAGGGGAAAAAAGTCCTTTTCTATTCGCACGGAGATTCTTTCTGAACGAATTGCGCCGCTGGGGAAAAGTGGGTTTCTTTAAACGGCGAATATCGTCGATCGGGCACCGGGGAGCGAAACTTTGTCGGGACCGAAGGAGATAAGTGTTACGCGGTTCGGTAGGCACGGCCTCCTCCGCGATATTAGGAGCCCGTAGTTCTTTCGTATCGCGAACCTAGTCGACCAGTTTCGCGGCCCCTGGGACTTTTACGCGTGCCACGGTGGATATTGGACGTCGAGGAATCGTGGATCGTCTGCTTTAAGCACCCACGCAGGGGCTGCGCGAACCATTTTCGCGGACACACGCTGTTCGACGTCGAACAGGCCAATTCTACGGGGCATCTGTTTCCCTCGATGATAGTTAACCCCTTCGCGTACGATTTAATTACAAATAATTTTGCGAACGTATATTATTTAATTTTATTTAAATTTGATCGTGTAAAGAATGACCACGAAAAAGAATAAATTTATTTCACAAGTACTTCGATGAAAAATGTATTGATTTTAATATGTTCGGCCACCCGTGGGAAAAATTTTAATGGGAGATTCTGGAGGCCAAAATAAGACGAAAGTCAAGAATACTAATTTGTTGATTGAGGTTTCAATTCGTCCAGAAGTTATGATTTTTTAAACATGCGCATGAAATTTCGGGGAAACATTTCTGGCTAGACAGTATATTTGCGGTAAAAAATTTTTTTCTCGAAACTACGTAGGATTTCGGGGGTATATGTATTCACCAAAAATTATTGTAATTGACCCCCGCAACCAAAAATAATTTTTCCAGAATGATTTGAAATTTTTTAATTTTATCGAAAAATTTCACACCTACTCGAATTTTTTTTCTCGAAAGTGCGTAGGGATTCGAGAGCTTATCTAGTCACCAAAAATGATTGTAATAAAAATAATTTTTTAGAACGATTTGAAATTCTTTAATTTAATTTTTTAATAACTTTTT